TTAAGGCGTAAAAATGCCAAAAAACGTCATAGTATAGCGTGTAAAAAAAAAAAACGTCATAGTATGTAAAAAAAAACGTCATAGTATAGCGTGTAAAAAAAAAACGTCATAGTATGTAAAAAAAAACGTCATAGTAAGGCATAAAAATGTCAAAAAATATAGAACAATATGTCAAAAAAATGTCATAGCATAGTATGTAAAAAAAAAAAAAAACTTCATAGTATAGTAAGGCATAAAAAAACATAGTATAGTAAGGCCTAAAAAAAAAAAAAGTAATAGTATAGTTTGTCAAAAATAGTACAGTTAGGCATAAAAATGTAAAAAAATACCATAGTATAGTAAGGCATAAAAAAGTCATAGTATAGTTAGGCATAAAAATGAAAAAAAAAAATGTCAGTATAGTAAGGCATAAAAAAAAAAAAGGTGGGGTATAAAAAAGCAAAAAAAAGTCATATTGTAATAAAGCATAAAAATTAAAAAAAAAAAAGTCATAGTATAGTATGTCAAAAAACGTCATAGTACAGTTAGGCATGAAAATGTAAAAAAAAAAGCCATAGTATAGTAAGGCATAAAAACAAAAAATGTCATAGTATAGAATGTAAAAAAAACGTCATAGTATAGTTAGGTATAAAGAAAAACATCATAGTATATTAAGGCATAAAAATGTGAAAAAAAAGTCATAGTTTGTTAAAAAAAAACGTCATAGTATAGTAAGGCATAAAAAAAAACGTCAGAGTATAGTTAGGCATTAAAATGTCAAAAAAAGTCATAGTATAGTAAGTCAAAAAAGGTCATAATATAGTAAAGCATAAAGACGTCAAAGTAGACATAATCTTTTAAATTGAAACATTTTTCTGCACACTTCCAGATGTAAATGTTAAGTCCAAGCTTCACTCTCTTTTAGCTCCTTTTTTTGGTCCCTAGCAACTCCTGAGTTAAATATCTGGTGCTTACCAGGTAGCAGATTGAACCATATCAGTGAGTGACACCTCTCACTTGTAAAAAAAAAAACAAAAAAAAAAACATTAATAGCCACTTCAGAATCATCACATTACACTCATTACATGTCAGGCAGAATCATATATTCTGTATTTCCTCAGGTAACCAATGATCTTTGCACACAGCTTGTGACTGAGTGGTGCAGTGTTTCTGCTATCAGGCTCCATTTTTAGTGAACAAGAAGAATCATTATTTCCTGGACTCTGCCCACACTGTAATTCAGCCCAGCAGACCAGACTCTCTCTGGGTAACAGCCACTCACAGGTGTTGATATGAATGTTCTTGCCTACTTCATTGGCTGGCTGCAGTGCTGAAGGGGAAATGCGCCGTACTGCAGCCTTAAAGCACATTATGTTCACGAACTGACAGTGAAGTTCTCTGCAAAGACTGAGGTTGTCCTAAAAATAGATTCCTGATGAGTAAGCGAAGCCTGAGGGATGGCTAATACACTGGCAGTGACACTGTAGCATCTCAAAGACTATGGAGACAGAGAGTCTGAGCAGCATCCAACTACAAAAGTAACACAAAGCATGACTTACAAACGGTCAATGTATGGATAACGTCATCTATAACCACATATTTCTGTACTAATCCCTCCATCCACTCCTAATTATGATACACAGATTGTACAGTTCACTCAGAAAGTACCAGGACTGTTTTGTTTTCACTCTGAACTCCAGCAGGTTTGGAGATGAACTTAAACAAAGACTGTGAGGTTTAAGTACCAACTCTCAGCTTTAATTAGAGGGTGTTTGCATCCATATGAGATGAATACTGTAGGAACTGTAGCCATTTTTATACAAACCCCCAAGAGAGTCTTATAATGTACAGCCAGTACAGCTATTAACACCCTTAAATACCCTTTAAGTCTGCACTCTGGCCTTGTTTTCAATGACTTGACTAATGAGCAGAAAATTCTGCGGGACAGATTTATATATTAACACTTTAGTGATTTCGAGGCAACAAGTTCTCCCATTATATAAAACCCTCAGGTCTACTTTCACCCTGAAGCTAACTCATAATAGCAGCAGTAAGACGAATCCAATATGTGGATTTGTACATTGGTATTTGCAAAAATATTGTTCCCATTCACTCATGTGCAATCCAAATGACTGAACCTGATTAATTTCAAAGAAGCTGGAACAAGACTACAGAACATGTTTTTCCTAGTGTGAATAAACTGTAACAGACAAAACAAGCTAACATTCCTCAGTTCCAACAGTGTAGCTTTCACATCTATGATACAGCCCTGACATCTTGATTCACGCGTTCACGTGTCACCACTGGAGTAAAATCATTTCATGGAACCTCGTACGAATCCAGGCTCAAGAATGCAAAATGAGCAAAAGGTTACTGCTCGACTGGGCCGAATACCTCTCGATCCTGATCCAAGATCCAGGATCCAACGAAGGAAAAGACACACATTTATACCTTTTATTGGCCAACACAAACTACAAACCACCACAAAGTGAAAATACAGAATCAAATGGCAGCCAATCACACATCATGAACAATCACCAACAAGGTCACCAGATCTTTTTTATGCATCTATGCAGCTGGACGTGAAAACCAGAATTTCTGATGTCCTAATTTGACATTTCTTCTTCTTTTTTTTTTTAAGCTTCAGTCTTTAGTCCTTTTTTCTTCTTAAGGACTCGCAGCACTGTCTCTCAGCTCAGTGCATGAGAATAAAGCTGCTGTAAGTACAGAGTAAACTCTTCACAGCACTAGAGACTTGCTACATCAAAGCCAGTGATACCCATGACTTCACTGAATTATCTTCACATCAGATCCCAAATTTCAAAGGGAAATCAACACGGATCATCCTGGACAATGTCATTTTAATTGAGTTCGTAGGCTAACTGATTAATAGGTGTCATTTCTACGAATGCACACGCATATACACACACCAAACAAGTCATTAGCTGATTGCTAACCCTTCTCTGGTTTACATCACCAAGAGGAACATCAAATAGAGATAAACAGAGTTGGTGATTTTTTCCCATTTCGTCTCAGTTCTGCTTTTCCTCTTTCAAAAAAAGAGCTGATGAATAAAGCTCAGAATAAAACACATATGAGTGTAAACACATTTAAGTGTTTGCGTTTGGCATGTGAGGACACAGGGAGATCAGTGGGAGGTTAGGTTTCCATCAAAACACAATAAGGCAGGAGGCAGATGTGAAGCTATACAGTATGTAACTCGAAACTCACGCCTGTGTTGCTTGCCACCTGCAAAAGTAAGCCTAACTGTAAATACAAAAAGGGAGCTGCAGGCACAAACATTCAAACATCAAAAGGAAGTCGGTCCCTGGCTATAAGTTTCAGACATGGGAGCTATTTAAAGCTGCAGTATGTGTCTTTCTTAACTCGAAAACGCAGAGTAACTGGGATCATTTGTCTCGTATTTCAGATGTTCTTCAGACATCAGTCGAATATTTCGACGTGGCAAAGCATGACCTGGGCTAAACCGTGTGCTTCAACAAATGGGACCCATCCTCTGGTGTCTATGTGACAATCTCCAGCACCATTTATAGACAGTTAAAGGTTAAAGGTTTAGTTTGGTTGTACTTTACTGAAAGGTGATTTATCTAAAGCCCTGGCCAGACTGGATGCATATCACAGGAGCATGTAAGCTGCTTATTTGACAAGCTAATCTTGTCCTTAGTAAGATGACGAGATAAGGTTTAAACATTGTTATAAAGTTCCAGAAGTCCTTACAATTACCATCTGATTTATCTGATGGTGAGGGATATCCTAAATCGAGTTAAACCTCCGTGCAGGTAATGTTATACCTGTACATCGTTGCTGTCAGGTCAGCAGCTTGCCTGACCAATAAGAAAACTTTCAGGATTTCAGGTATTACCTAATGGGGGTTTTTAAATGATTTAATAGGACAGTATAGATCATGTGCTGACAACATCTCTGTGTGTATCTGTGAGTGTGTTATTGATCGATGCTTACCCGTGCGTCGTACTCCAGGACAAACGGAGGGATGTCGATCTGTTCAGGTTTGATGCAGGTGAAGAGCTGGTGCAGGTTGTCCAGGTAGCGGACTTTGTCCTTCATCCCTGACACACTGAAGGTGGTGAAGAACCACGTCGAGACCTGGATTGAGTTTGAAAAGTGAAGAAAGAAAGAAAATAAGGAACATTTCAGTTACATTTGAGCGTTTGATCTTGATTGTTAGCTATAGCAAGATTAATAAATAACATACAGAGACAAAACCGAACTCAACTTTCTAAAGCAAAAAACAAAAACTAGATTACATCTAATGAGACTTTAATGATCCTCATGGGAAAGTTTCACCATTGCAGCAAACAAGTACTGTAATTCCAGTAAACAATAAAGAAACAAATATAAACCAGAAAGCACTTAGAGAGCGCATGTCTCTGCCAAGGCTGCACATTTCTCCAGATTTGTTATTTTCATAACGGAAAAATATTTATAACTTTTGACTTCGCATCTGGATCAGGATTAGCATCTAAATACACAGTGTGGTGGACAATCATGTAGATTTTTGGATAAGGCCTCACCTTGGGAATGTGAGGCCTTTGCCCAAGGACCAAACTGTTCGCAATTCCAAGTGAGTCTCATGATTACTGAGACGTTTAAAATCATAATGTTACTGGAGCAGGAAAATTGTGCAGGGTTGATGTGTGTTTGTAAGAAATAAAATTCCGTTGCAACTTGCTCAATGTATTTAATTGTCATGGCAGGTTTCGTGAAGTCCAACACAATTAGAAAAAGAATTTCTAGCCAAGTTTAATGAATGTGAAATGAAGTGTGATGAATGATGAAGTCCTGCAAAAAGGTTTCCTAGAATTTGAAAACAGTGAAACATCTCTCTAAAAGGAAATGAGTGTAGCACAACTAACTGATTTGTGTTAGAAGGGGCCATTTGTAAGTTTTCACTGGTGCTTTCTTGGTTTCTTGCCGGGAGCGGATGGTGGTGAATGTCACTTGATGTTGCGTTTAGAAGTCAAGCAGTTATAATACGACCTCTGAGCAGCGTTACCTCTTCAGGGCAGATTGGAGGAGAGTTTGTATCGGAAAGTGACAAGATGGGCTGGGGCTAGCTGGTTAGCATGCTAACTTTGGCAGAAGAAAAGACGTGACAGAAAAAAGAGTTAACATTGTCGTTGCTCTCCATCTCTGGAGACAGCTCTTGGTCAGTAAAGGAGCGAAGTTTGGTGCTGAACTTGCAACGTTTCTTCAAGACTGGTAATTAGACAGCTGTTATTGCTAATGTTAGCTATGTAGCAATAGTAAAACTTACAAATAGCTCCTTTAACCCAGAAGTCTATGAAATTACTTTGCCTTTATGTTTCATATTGTAGGAGTTATGAGTCAGAACATGCAATGAAGTAAATAATAGAATGACATTAACGCTATTGTAACTACTATGACTAACAGTTCCACTTCTGTCACTACAACATTAACAAAACATTTACATTTCTAGTGCTTGTTGAGAGAAATTTATACACTGATATGATCCTCTTAGCCTAGATATACAATAAGATCTGTTGACACTGCAAATACCAGACAGTTACATACATGATGACATAATCTCACCTTAGAGCGAAATGTTGGATGTACATAGTAGAAGGCCTTTAAATTCTTCTTAAACCTGCAACACATAAACCAGAACACCTCAGCAAGAAACACTTACAGCAAGGTTTTGACAGTGACTCACAGTTTCTTAAATACAACGAGACAAGAAAAACAGAAGATGCGTGAAAACGAGGACTGTGACAAAGATGAAGTGAAAGGGATTAATCTTCTCAAACAGACGACAGGATTAGTGTGAAGTCACTGTGCTTTTGTTTCCAAGAGGTGCGAGGTGCTGTCCCAAGAAAAACACAGACAATCAGCTCCAGCCCTTCCATCAGAGTGGAAACATGTAGCACACAGACACACAACGCTAACATCCCACTGCCCTTCACTTACTCATGCAGCACACCAACCTTGTGTGAGACTGCTTAAGGCCAATGTACTTGTCAATTAACTCACAACTGCCTTTGTGCAGTGGATCCTTATTTAATAGCCTGAAGAATGTATACACAGACAGGTAGATGATGTGAAGTTTGACATCTAGTATGTGAAGGTACTCGTCCTCTTGTCTGTTCAACAATGATGATGGCGCTTATAGTAATTATACAGTTAATTTACCTCAGGGGAGAGCTACAAGACCCTCGGTGTTAAAGGATAATCTGAGGAACCTGTTTATTTTTGTTATTGTCAACAACTACAATGACAACACCAAAACCAACAATGAATGGACCTTTAACATGTGTTGTAGCCAAACCCTGATATACAGTATCTTATTCCTCTGTGCCATTGTTGTCCAAAGACGATTCAGAACACGTCAGTGAGCGAGTGACATTGTTTCTTCTTTACCATGAACGTGGTTTATTTTCAGTCAATCTCACATACACTGTCCTGCTGCACTAAACAGGCTCCAGAGCAACAAATGCATATTAATCTGCAGCTAAAATAGTCCGCTCTAAAATGCATCATTTCCTCCTGTTCGAGTGACATTTGCTAAAAAATGTGGAAGGAAATTATTTCACTTTATTGTATAATTGACTGTATATTTTAGTTTTTATAGATCCGTCTTTACCAGGCATGAATGGGCTTTGAGCTGCGTGTCACAGGGAGGCTGGAGAAGTCTGAAAATATTAAGGACAGACTGACATATTGTATTGGTTGTGTTGCATGCACTGGTTTTGGATTTTTTTTTTTAAAAATACAGCAAACTGAAAAGCTTCCATGAACTGGAAAGAAGTGGAATCCCCACTGTGTCACATCCTTCAGTTACAGAAGAATAGACCTTTATTTCTATGATAAATATCATGGAGAGATGACGGACAACTTCTTGGCCGCACTGAGGAGTTTTGATAGATGTTAGGAGGAGCCCAGGCATGAATATGAAACATGTTTCAGACATAAAAGTGGCGCACTAAGTAAGGAGCGACACCCTGACCTAAACGCCGGTCAACCTCACAGGTGCTGCTCTATCGCTGACAGGAAAAAGTACTTGAATCCAAAAATCACTTATTACTGCATCTGGGGCAGTATTCATTCTGTATATGTTCAGTTATTAAACAGGCAAACTCTGCACTTGTGGATCTAATGCAACAGATGCCAGTGTATCCAACAATCACTTCACAGTGCCATTATTCATCTCCAATAGATGACTCTCTCAGCTGGATAGGGTATTTTTTTAACCTGGTTGAATTGCACTTTGGGATGACAGTGTCTTTGTTCTGTCTGTAGTTTCATCCAGTTAAATTTCAACAACTATATAAAATGAAATGCCATGAAAATTGTTTTAGAAATTAATGATCCCCAGAGGATTTATTCTAATCCTGTGAGGTTTTGAGGTTTCCTTGACTTTTCCTCCGGTGCCACCATGACGTCACGACTGCCAACACTCATCCAACATCTCAGTTGATGACAAGATATTGTAAGCAGTCAGTAATAGCAGGATTTACATGGATTTCCTCCTGGCCTTTCTTTCAGCAGCACCCACAGATCAGATTGTCAATTTGGTACACAAGATATCTCTTCAGTCTTGAAAAGAAATATCCTGCGCACTGCTCTTGCTCAGCATCACAAGTTATTGATCATACAACGTTCCGTTTTTTTCCAGACTCGCATCTTAGACATTTGGATGTGCGAATATCTTAATCGAGAAATTTGCACACAAGATCAACAGTCCAGTTCAAACGTTTTGAGTCCAAACAGCCTGCGAGGGAAACTCATTTAAGTCGCTTGTCTCCATGATCTCATTCCCTGAGCTCATGGCCAGAGGTGAGAATTGGAATCAACGTGTAAATTGAGAGCTTCACCTTCAGACAAAGTTCTTTTCACCACAATGTTCAGGTTCAATGCAGCCAAAACCACAGATGGTGCACCATTCTACCAATCTCATGTATGTTACTCTCGCTGATGGAAAGGACTCGTCTTCTTATGGCAGCAACTCGCTCCCAACCTGAAGGGAGCAACACATCCATTATCTGGCAAATGACTTTGAACTCTGGAGGTGCTGACCCCTCATCCCACCCACTTCACCCTTGGCTGCAAACGGCTCCAACTGGATGTCGTAGTCCAGTGAAGTAATAAAACTACTGGAAAAAGAAAGCACAGATGCAACCCTGAGGTCACCAAACCAGTAAAAGCCAGTTCAAATGGTGATTCCCTAATGAATTGAGGAAACCATCCCCTCTCTGTTTTGAAGATGGGAACCACCAAAAGCCTTTCTGCCCCTTTGAGAGCCACAGTGAAACCCTGCAGCTGGAGCCTGACGGTGAATCTCTGAAACCAACAAACAAAGTACCTGAAACTGTAATTACAGACTAAACAAATAACCTCAGCTATATTCAAGTTTCAGTAACTGAACAGCAGAGGTAGTGCACACTTGGCTGTTCAATTCATGGCAGCACAATGACAATAACCCACCACATTTGCGACAGTTTGCATTGTCATACCACACACACACACACAGACACACACACACAGTGTTGGTCTGGCTGTGGTACGTGGCATCTGTTCATATAATACAAAACAGTCAGTCAAGAGAGCAGGGAACTTGATCTTCTAGTTGACAAACTAACTCAAAGGACTAAACCATGACGTGGGACTTCTGCTCCGGTCCAGCGCTGGACCCTGAGGGGACAAAAAATAATAATAATCAACCCCACATGAGCTCATCTGTCTCCTAGAGAAAGTAATCAATCTCCCCCACTTAGCCAGACAGTTTTGGAAACTCTTTGTGTTCATGTTTGGCTTTAGTCTGCTGGTTAGGTTGTGTGGAGCCAAAATGAATCTGCAGCCAATCTATAGCTCGGTGGGTTGAACATGCTGGACATGCCAGGCTAGGGTTAGTGGTTCCACTGCCTGCGTAGACCAGCAGTTTATCGCCAAACCAAAAGAGCAGAGAAATGAAACTGAGAAAAAAAAAAAAAAAAAGCTCCTAAATTAGTCACACATCCTGACAAAAGAGTTGGGGCATAAATAGAAACTGTAAGCCTCAAATAACGTTTACAGATGAAAGTTGTGTTTAGATGAAATGTAATCCCCAAACATGAAACACATGAAACAGTAGTAGCAGAACTTTCTGCTGCTCGCTTTACAGACCAGAATAAGCAAGAACATCAAGTACCAGAGGGGAAAAGGGTTTGATTCTCACTGAGGGTTCAAGACTCCACGACACTAAACCACCATCCTTTATATAAATCCATCCACTAAAAAACCTAATAAAAGATAAATCATGGATTAAAGAAAAACGATGGCAGCTGACCAAAACATAGAGAGCTACCAATCCACAGTCCCTGCTAAATGACAAACCCTTTCTAACAAACAGGTTCTGTGTTTTCTAATCAAAGAGCAATAATAACATTAAAATCAGCTGGTTAGTGGCTGTCAAACCGGTTCTGACTACGGTCTAACCGCTCCATCTTCTCATAATAAGGTTTAATGAGCCAAAGCTAAAACTTTGCAGAGAGTTAGTGGAACTTTAAATAACCTTGACATTTTAAAAAGGTAATTAGCATCACGCCTAGAGCTGCTACTGTCTGTGACAAATCAGCAAAGTGTATTAGAGCAGTCACAGTCACAGTTCATGACTGAATGGGGTTTCCCAGTTAGAAATGAGTTAGATGATAGAGGAAGCTGAGTAACGATGTCTTCATCTATATTCAAAGCTGACTGTATGCACAGGGTATTTTTATGTTGTACTCTCTTTGTTTTCCCCCAAATTCTTCACTATGTAATTGAAATATAGAAAATAACAATTGCAAACGTCTGGAATATGTTCCTCCATTCCACGTACGTTTATGAAGGAAAAGCAACTTCTAAATACTTCTTTAACTCCTGACTGAATTTTCCAGACAGACACGGGTTAAGAAAGGTGTGGTGAAACCAACTGAATGATCAGTCACAGGAAGTAATCAACAGAGGAACGCAGGGGTTGAACGGCGCAAATAGCCGCGCGGAGTTTCCCACTGACAAAAAGTTTGTTTAGTTGTGGTTTCTAGAAACTAGAAAGAGACAAGAACTTAAAAAGTTGAACTCACTCATTGAGCCTTCAAGTTCCTCTCTAAGTTTTCCCTGCAGTGGTTTCCACCTATGTGTTTTCTACCTGTTTTGTGCCTTATGTGTTTATTGACTGGTGCTACACAATAATCTTAACTTGCTTCAAATGTTCTATTAAAGCTTCAGCGTGTTATACTTACAGTGAATTAAAACGGACATGGGGGGGGGGGCGCTTTAAATGTTGCTGCGCACTGTGTGTAGGTCAAAGCTGAAGTAGGAAGTCAGTCTGTAGATTGTGATTCACAACAGACTGTTTGGGTTATAACTCACTTTTGTTTTCTCCTCTAAATTAACTCTAACCTGCGGGTTTGTTGAAACCGGTCTGGTCGTCTGGATGCTGCACGTCCTCTAAAACCTAAGAAACCATTTTTTCCGTGACTGCACCGTTGCTTCAAACAGGGCACCTCAAGCATCATTTTAACCACATTTTCCTACAGCTTAGATTGTCATCTTCAGTATCTTTGAAAAATTTCAGGCCCTCAACTAAAACGTCAAGTAGGTTCAAACAACGCTTGACTGCACGCAGCAGAACAATGGAACCATCAGGGAGTCTGACGCTTGAAGAGCATAACTATCACTTTGGATAATACAGAACTGTAAACAGCTCTGGTTTTCATTTGGAGGATGTGGCTCCTATTTAGCTTGATGAAAATATTCATCTATGGAGAACCTCACAGCAGGCTGCAAACAAAGAGATGCAATGTTCGGCTAGTATTGATCCCAGATTCAACATCTGACTCCCAGTGTAGAGTATCTGATGTAATAACATCGTGTTTGTGATAACAGACATCCTCCTCCAGCATGTTCAGAATCTTTCAAGTTTCTCAACATAATCTGATTTAGATCCAGGTTTGGTGTCCGGACTCTACCGGGTGTTCAGACACAAATCATCATCCATGTGTTGATCTTAAACAGTGGTTTCTCTGTCCTGTATTTATCAACAGAAAGATTAATTATCCGTGTGGGATTCAGATGTTGTTTTTCAGGTTTGTAAACCTGAACTGACTGGACTAGTGCGGACCCTCTCTGCTCAGAGATATCATGAGATCCCCCACTGGAGGTGCATTCTTCAACTTTAACACTTTCACAAACTAATATAATGTCTAACAAAAGGTTTTTCCTATGAAAGGCCTAACCGGAGCGAGTTCAGAACAAGGGTGCGCTTTCAAAGCTTTCACCCCTCTGATAAAGGATGAGTTACAGCCAATAAATCACCCCGAGAGCTCGCTCCAAGTTTGGGTGTCCTGTTCCAAATATTGGCTCCAGATTTTCAAAAACCCATAATGAAACAAAACCGTTTCACAGCAGATTCTGTTTTTTCAAAAACTATAAACGCTGTAAACTTGGCCGTGTTGTACTGTAGCATGAACATTGTATCTGAGCTTCACCGTGTTTGCAGAAGTCAGCATAGTCAGAGAGGTAACGAGTGAAGAGCCAAATGAAGGTCAAGCAGGGGTCACGTGACGGCAAAGCCTCGCAGAAGATGCTGCGGTTAGCACTTTTACATTTCAATGAGATACTGCAACTGGCCAGACTTATCGTCTTACTAATATAAACTGAGAAACAACAGCAAATACCAGGGAACTGTCAAAGCCTGTCAGACCTTTGTTCCATCTGGACAAGCTTTCTAAAACTTCTTGAATCATTTCTTAAAAAGGAAAACCCTCACGCTCTACGTTTGATAATTCTGGCCATTAAAGACCAGAGATGAGGCTGGCCAGTGGAGCTCGCCAAATGACGTTAATTCTATTGCAAACCCAAAACATACAGCACAGAACATTAAAGTCAGTGCCCTTGTGTGGGGGAGGTTAAAGCAACAACAGCTCTGAAGTTTTCTTATTTAATCACTGTGTGTGGCAGAGGGATGAGACAGAACGGAAAGACTAAAAGAAGGGGAACTAAGACGTTGCACGTCCATGAAATGCAACATACCCCAGCATGCATTTGGTGTAAGGTTTAGATCATGTTCATTTGAGTGTATGACTGGCTCAGTTTAACAAGGAGTGTAAAATGTCAGACTGACTTGGCGTCGACGATGTCATGGAGGTTTCTGAGGAAGTCGGAGTCCAGGTGGTTGTGCTCGCCCGTCAGTGTATGGAAGTAAACCATCACATACTCCTTCACCGTGATGTGGTCCATCACGTGGATAAAGTACAACAGAGCCTGCACACGCAAACACAGACAAAAATCAGTGTGCATGCACATTTATAGTCCTGGACACTCCACATGTTTACATTCATTCTTTTACGGTTTACATTCTTGTTTGAATTTCAGTTCACTATGACTTGGTTTAATAGCAGTTTTTTTTGGTTCAAGTTTCCGTAATATTCAGAGCTGGTGGTAAATCTTAAAGTACAATAACAGAAATTCAGAATAACTCTTCAGTATTTGTGTTCAACAGGTATTGAAAAATACAAACAGACAATTTTAAAGGTCCAATATTGTATGAAATGAGATTTGATCTTGTGATGTTTGATTATAGATCAGGTCTAGCTTCTATATTAATACTGTGAAAGTGTCAAAGCCTCAGTCCACAGAGAAATGCACACAGCCTGTATTCAGAAACTGAGCCTTAAAACCAGCCGTCAGGACTTCTGTAACTTTGTGATGTCACAACTATACAGGCACCACTCTCAGCCACGCCCCAATTCCCGCCCACCTGGACCCACCATCCAACATTGCAGGATTTGGTTTCTCTCAGTGTTTACCTGAAATCTGTTATATTTCTATTGGATCACTCAGAAAACAGTCAGCCAATCAGAAGAGAGGCTCAGAGCCTCCTTTCTTCTGATTGGCTCACCGATTGGCTGTTGTTACTAAAGCTCCAGAGAGAAGCCTGAGAGAGATGTAAAACTACATTGGGATGGTTTTTGGTTCCTAAGACTACAAGTATATCTTCTTATGGATCAACACTTCAAAAAAAACACAAGGAAAGTACAAAATATGGGACCTATAAATTTTTTGTCCAGTGAACAAAAAGTTAAAGTTATTCGTTTTACCCTGAACATATTTAATGTGTCAAGAAAGATTAACATGACATCACAAACATTGCATTTATACAAAAGTTGCAGACATGAAACAAACAGTAACACAGACCATAACTTATGTGCACGCAAATTAAATACATTTGCATAATTTTCAGAAAGCCGCAAGCACATGTAAATACAGATGGACACATGAAAGGGCAGACAAACATGCACAGATGCTCAAAAAACGCAACACACACTTGCACAAGGTGGTATCTCAGATTAACACAAAGTTGAACATGTGCTCACAGACACGCAGGTGAAGTTGAGTCTGACTGAAGTATTTTATTTTGAAGTAATTCTTTCTATTTTGTTACCTTTTCAAGGTCAATAAGGGTCACTGGGATGTTTCGTCCGACCACCACCATCACTGTCCTGCCACACATATCCACACCTGGGTACAGTAGAAAAAGGTCAAAAACATACACACACACACACAGACAGACAGACAGACAGACAGACAGATAGACAGACAGACAGACAGACAGACAGACAGACAGACAGACAGACACACACACACACACACAGGTTCAGTCTTGAGACAGACTGACGATCAGCTCGGTGACTGTGGAGCTTCTTTACAATCAGTCATGGGTGATTCAGGTTTCAGCATTATTTCCTCCTCACTAGAATTCCCGTTGATGCAGTTCTTCTTTCCCTTGCCGGCCATGCTAATGCTTATCACTGCTGACTGTAACAACGCTCTGTTTAGTCTTCACAGATCAAATATTTATGTGTGTGATTTGGTTATATTTTTCCAAGAAAGGGGAAAGAGACGTTTTAGGGCTGAAACAGTCAGTCAGTTAATAGAAGGCAGTAGTCCTCAGTTAATCATTTATAAAGGAAAAATGTCAAAACATTCATTGTTTACTGCTTCTCAACTGTGAGGATTTGCTGCTTCTCACAGTTTTGTTTGTTTGTATGTAAACTGCATATCTTTTGAGTTTGATCTGCTGGTTACACGTAAGAGTTTCACCCCATGAGGAAAATAATCCTAAGTGGCTGCTCTCTGAGTTTTCAGACCAGCGAATGGGAATTGGGGATGATGGAGGTTAAACCCCTGAGGCAAAAATGTTATTTATTAATTATCAGTGGGTGTAACCTGCCTACGTCTGCCACACATTGCAACGATATAATGACGGAGCCAATCGATATCTCATGTTTCATTTTGGTGTATTCCAAAAGATTAGTAATAACTGTGCAAACTTAACGACCTGTAAAACCCCTTCAGTGACAAGCTCTGCAGCTTGGAGCTCGTTCTGCTCCTCCAGCACTTGGTGTACTGCCTCCCCTTGCAAATCAAACCCTGTCCCCACAAAAGGAGGTGACAACTTCACTTTGGAAAAGACTGAGCAGTGGTCAGCATTACAGCAGCTCAGCTCTGGGAAAAATTCTTCTGAGGGCTGTGTTTTGTTTAAAAAACAATTTTTTTTTAATAGGTCCTCTGTGTCCAATGTACCCACTCTACTGTTTTCTATCCCTTATTTGTCCTTTTCTCCTTTTATTCCCGACCATGAGAAACAAACAATAAACAGCAGTATACATCATTTATTGTATCCTATTATATTAACGTTTAACTCTGCTATATGTACATTATTTCAACACAGTCAGTCTTCTATTGCTTTCTGATCTTCCTGCACCTTTACAGTTTATATGTTTGTTTTTTTTTACTCTAGTTTTAAAGACACATTATTTAATTTCACCTGTACTTAACTTACATTTCAAATAACAGTAAAACTTTATACATTATCTGAAGATGCTATTTTCAACCAAAAAATGTTTATCATCCCACATCAGCTGATATCAAAGCAGAAAATTTATCTTCTGCCGCAGGATGTGGGTGATAAATATTTATATATTCATTTATTTTTTAAGTTAAGTCATGGTGATATAGTAAACTTTGGTCAACAGAGGCCTCCAGTCATGATCAGCATCATAAGATAATTCATCTGTGAGAGAAAAAGCAGTAATTTCTGTTCGTAAGGTCCCTTCTGTCCTCGTACATTTAGTTTTATGCCACAGAATTTCATTTCAATTAACTGAATCAGAAAAGAGCGCGGTCAGTGAGTTCATATGGGCTTTTAACATTTCACTGAGAAAGCAGGTAATGCAGAGTCATGGAAGTTTTCAAATATCATTTTAAAGGTCAGCCGGGTCAGATAACAAAAGGGGCTAAACTGAATAACAACACTGCCTCCTACTGGTAATGACATTCAACTGCACCTTGTAACCAGCTGAGGAAGGAGACAAGAGATGCTGTATTTAATCCCGCAAACAAAGATGCCCGAACCACACCGGCGCTGTGTGAGGTGAGGTGAATGAAAACACACACACACATATATATATATATATATATACACACCTCTGTAAGTGTCCTTTTGTTTCTGTTTTACATTTATATTGCAGAGGTGAGAGACAAAGATAAAATAGGACTTTCCTCTGTCCATGAATCACACGAACACATACCAGTTTGATACAAGGCTTTCAGTGCGGCGATGTCCGACAGGTCCTCTGCTCTCGCTCGACACAGCCAGCGATTGTAACTGCAGAGAGGAAACACACACACACACACACACACACACACACACACACACACACACATAGTTTAATAGTTACACAGGCTCACAAAACAGCATATTATACAGATTAAACATGCAGCAAAACTACTACAACTACTCCCCATCTTGATAATCCTGTAACAAACAAAAATCATCAGGTAAAATTGGGTCCACTTGTGTGAGAGCTGTAAATTATCTCTGCTATGACTCATAGAAACTTTTTTTTTTTTAATGTTTTTTCATTTATTCAGTAAAACAATTTTGTAGGTCAAACTCCTCTGAATAAAGTATGATCACAAAACATTAAATCCATCAAGAAATTAAAGTTTAAACACAACTGCCGGTGTTGTAAATGGGATTTTATTTTGTGGCCTTTTTGTTTTCTACTCTTTTATTCTCTTTAATTTGTGGTCTATGATTTCTATATGCAACAAGTTCTGTCTGGGCCTTTTCTAACGCTAATATCGGCAATGCTAATATTCACCTGACCATAACTAAAAACTGAAGCGATGCATTTTATCATATAAGATTTCAAATTCCCAATAGGATGTTCCAGTGACTTCAGCGCTGGGTAGGACTCTTACTTCCTCTGGTGTTGTTTCTGCATGGCTGCCTCTGACATCTGGCCCTGCAGGATCAGTTTCCGCTGTTTATCCACATCGCCCTCCATCCGGGCGAAAGCGTGATTCCCCACCTGACCCAGATCTGACTCCAGACTCTCCTCTTCGCTATCATCTACACAAACAAACAAGCAGATGATAACTGATTTTCTACATTCAATTTCCTTTCCCAGCTTTAATGGATTCATTATGGCAGTAGTAAAGTTAGATGCACATCGGGCAGATATTACAGCATATTCACTAAAACAAATAAGTGCTCTGCTGCTCCCACAAACAATACACTAAGTCCACTGCTTACAGAATGAAAACAGTGAAGAATCCTGGATCTGGCTTCATTCTGATCTTTGAAATGATCATTTTTCCTCAAAAGTTCAACTGTGCGCTTGAATTTTTCAAGTCGTACGTCTCTTCACCACATTTTCATGCGTGTGCTTTCTTGCCTGTGTTTATTTTCTCTTCATGAATCCTAATTTATCTGCCAGCGTGAAATTATTTGTGTGTATAAAAAGCTGCGACTGAGGTCACAAACTCAGTTTGACAGGATTCAGGCTCAGGTTCAAATCTGTTTCCCTGCTTGTTTGTCTTTGACCACATGTACTGTTGTATTCATGTCCACGCATTTTATCTACGTCCAAATGGGCATGTGTGTCTGTCAGTGTGTGCACATCAGCCTGTTGTTATTGGGTTTCGCTCGTAGGCGGCCTGCTTGCTTTGGATCAACACCTCAAAGCCACATTGCGTCTCTCTGAAGCATCAGGCCAGCTGACATCAGACTGGAGGTCAGTGGAGTCGACAGGCTCGACGCAGAAAACCGCAAACACTCGTGAACACATGGGCTGGTGTTACTTTCACAATCCTCTTCAACAAAAACTAACATTTAGACAACGTGCAAGCAAAAGCCTCGACTGGTAAACTAGAGGGGTCATACAGAATGTAGTTTATCTGAGGGTTTATGGCCTGTGAGGGAGTTTGAACTGAAGCTGCCAACAGAAAAAACATTTCCACTTTCTGTTCTCCTTTGTCTTTTACATGCAACGGAGCCAACTGCTGTACATGCAGTCGTAAGTGTTGGCTGCAGTAAAAAACTATGAGGTCTACACAAAGTGTCACATCGAGCCTCCGGAGCAGCTTCAATGTGCTGTGACACAGATCCTACCAGTCACTGTAACTTCACTTGGAGGGTTAAGATGCTAACTGCAGCATCGCTGGTTTGAGTCCTGCTAGGGACCTTTTGCTGCATCACTCTCTCTCCTCGTTTCCTGTCAGATCTCTTCTGTATACAATCTAATTAAAAAGAAACAAATGGCAGAAATAAAGTTAATCATTCAGAGCATCAAAGGAGACAGTGAGTGGTGGAGTGGTAATCAGGAGAAATCATGGCAGGCTGGTATTGTTCTGGGCTGATTACTGTGTGAAGTGAACTGATGAAGCTAAGCATTTGCGGTCTCTCCGTACACACACACACACACACACACACACACACACACACACACACACACACACAGTCCATTTATGGCCTGATTAAGTCTATAGTAGGGGAACAGTGCTACCTGGATCTGAAGGCTGGACAGTCTTGCCAAGTTGGCAGTCTGGCACTTGGCTGGAGAGAAAGTAAAATGCAGCAGTGCCAATAAAACACTGATTAAAAAGGGGAGGGGAAAAAACAGCTTAGCAGCTGCAGCCAAGTGCTCTAAAGTAATGACGGTATTTTGTGTGCAAACCTTTCAGTGTTGGTGTTCAGCGCGGGCACCTCTCCTCTCCCTCCTGACCGTCGCCCTGCATCACTGAGTGCTCGCCACTCAACATTGTTTAACTCCCAGACTGAAACTGAGTCCTTCTCAAGAGACTACAAGTCGTCACTGAAACCAGACTAAAATTCTCCCAGGTTTAGTTCCCAAACTAGTTCCTCTATAACAACATCACAACACAGAAATCCCAATACATCAACAACAAGAAGAAACAAAAATCCTTCACCCTGATCCATGAGCAGTGGATGATGCCGACATCTGAAATAAGAGGTTTCAGAGGAAAAATAATTGTCAATTCATGCCTGATATCCCTCTTATAAAATCCTCGTATTGATTCTTAGCTGTTAACATGTAGACAGTAAATGAAACCTCCTTCATGAGACTTTCAGTAACAGATGGGAATGACTTCTCTCATGTCCAAAAACACTAAATAAGAAACTAAATTTAATTCACACTGATTAAGTTTTAAGCAGTGAAAACATGCCCTCATTTAAAAGATCCTTCAAAACATCCTCTAGGCTTCATTTGTTATTTGAAACCATTAAAAACTGAATTCCTTGCCCTCCACCAAACACTATCCAAACTTCCTGCATTTAAATAAAACCTATAAAAGCAGCCTGCGACACGTCCTTGCTGTTAAATTGAGCTGATGACACAAACTTCGAGGAAATTCCAGGAAAAAGTGAAATTTCATTTGGAGACAAATACAAACAGGATGTCCTGAAACAACCCGTGAGTTCAGAACAACACAGAAACACCTGCTCCGTGTTAGACAAGCCTGCCGGTCACCGAATGAAACTCTTTGTAATATGCAGATGACGCTCTGTGGAAAACATGACATCCTCCACAACAACAGGCACAGCTTTCTGGATGTGTGTGAGAGAGAGAGAGAGAGAGAGAGAGAGAGAGAGAGAGAGGGTGTGTGTGAGTGTGTGGAGGTACAAGTGCGGCCTAAAGGATCCAGGCGGCCAGATGTTCCACTGACACGGTTACCAAATATCCTGCTACACTTCTCTTCCATGTCCGCCGCCCGGCTCACTGACTGGCTGAGCTCCAACATATTGTCCTCATCAAAATTTAATGCTTGTGCAGACCTTCATCTCTGGGCTACATCTGATGTTTTCGCTGACATGGTGAGTTGCTGAGCGGTTGAGTAATTGACTGTGACGCGTGAGGGGTGACTGACAGGTTGCCCAAATGGCCGACTGGCCGACTGGCTGGCTGGCTGGCTGGCTGACTGACTGACTGTGTGGTTTGTTGGCTGATTAACCGGTGAAGTGACAGGCCGTGCTGACTGGTCGTTATCAGAGAGAAATTAATCTAGAGGAAGACAAAAACAACAAACGATTCATTTTGCTCAGCGAGAGATGAGTGAGGACAGAAATGGGGAGGAATAAAATATTAAATTGTGCCTGTGTGTGTTTATTTAGCTGACTTTCGCAGACGTAAAGTCTCATCGGCCGATCTTGGAATAATTATAACTGACACGAGAATTAAATCTGATTCCAAAATTATAGATCAACCACTTGGAAAAATATGATTCCTACTCATATAAACACATTACTGACATGAAAGTGAAGCACATTACAGTACATGTCCTTCGCAATGCCGGGAAACATTTCATCACATTATACAAAAACGATTTTGTGTGGAAGTGGTGTACCTTCCAGGCTGCCTGGCTTCTCTGCAATGCGGATCTGTCTTTCTGGGACAACGGGTTCACCCTCGGAGTTGCCAATGTCAGCGGGGATGAGAGGCAGGCAGGCCTTCTCCTCTTCCTCAGAGCGAGGGTAGTACAGAGGCAGTAACTTCTTATACACCAGCTGGAAGAGCACACGAACGCATCAGGATTCATGTTAATGCCCCAAAATATACACAGTGGCGTATTAGAAAAGCATAAGGAAGCCTGGTTTTACATAAGAGGAACATGTGGGTTCAGTCCAACACTAAAGGCGACAGGAAGCTTCAGCTGAAGTATTAGTGCCGTCTTCGTGCAGCGACTGGCCGGGTGTACAGCAGGGTTTGAATCTCTTTACACAGATATTTCTGTTAGTTCTCATGTGTGTGAATGAGTGAAGCACTTTAAATACCCTCAAAGGAAATACAGTCCAAAAGTGTTCTGAAACTGTGCTCGTCTGACATGTCGTATGAACTTGTTCCCTTGATGCGGTTAACACTTCCTCGATTAAGATGCTGACTCTTACGGAGGGACGCAGCCCAGGGAGGCGGGTCCTCCAGAACGCTGCCAAGAAACTGATGGTGCATTTGTTCGCTTCGCATCAACTTGTAAAGTCAGACCTCTACATCTTCATCATCAGGGAGATGTCCTCAAACAGCTGACAACGTTTAAATGTAAGAGCTAAATATAGAGGGCACATTTACTTTACAGTTTGAGTAGCATCATTACATTGACATTAATAAACTCTAAGTGGCCAGTGAGAAAAATCTTTTAGTCTTTCTAAAAATACACCTTTCAGTCACTGTGGTGCTGCTGTAGAAGTAGTTAAAGGGACTAAACACATTGCGACCACCTCTCTCTCTGTGTAACATGCTGTTGTTCTCCCACGTGCCACAGAAACAGCTCCGACGCTGCTCTGTGGAATCTGACACCGAGACGTTAGTGACAGATCCTTTAAGTACTGTGAGCTCAGCACAGACCCCAGCACCCTGTCACCAGCTCATGGTTTGTCCCTCCTCAGACGACTGTCGGTAGGTGCTCACCTCCGTTGACTAGGGAGCACCCCACTACTGTTCACTCACTGGCTAACATTTCCCAGACGGTGACATGTGCTGCTGTTATGAGATAATCAGTGTAATGTGTGGTGTGTGTGTTGGGTGTGGAGAGTCTTGGCTCATTCGTGTACACAATACACACCTCCTCTGTTTCTGTCACCGCGAACACCACCGCCTCGATGCTGTTCCCATGATTCTCCAAGAACCTGCGCACTGTTCCTATAAACACATGAACGCCATAAACTTAACTTTCTCCTTATTGCTGCAAAACCAAAAGACTTTCACAGACATAAAAGAAATCCACACGTTAAAGACGGAACGAATGTTTGCATTGATAAGAAGCTTAAACACTTTTTTTCCTGTGAGTCAGATCATTGACCAACTTTGTCGCTACCTGGACAAATTATTTCTAAACTAGAAAAATAATAAACACGTATGTATTTATTTGTGTATCTAATTGTAAAACTAACAAATGCACTTTAATGCAACAGTCCTGCAGTAAATCCTCCATTCATGAAGGTTATAATGTTCAGCTTTTGTTCAAACTGCTTTAGAGAGGTGTTGATTTATCTGTAGTCACTCTGTAGTTTGTGGTGCTGTTGAATTATATCCTGTTATACTGACTGTGAAGTGTTTGCACGTACATACAGAGCGGCTCCTACACGTGTCCTGAACACTCACTTCATGTGGTCTGATGCTTCACCTCCTCAGGAGGCCGTTCAGGTCACTGGGTGTGTTCGGGTGCAATCGAGACATGGATGTTTCTGTTGCCTCCATTATCAGATTATGATCTTATCGTGTGTGCCATAGAGAACACTTGAGTTGAATGTCAGTGTGTGATCTGCAGTGTGTGTTCACGACTGTCTGCCTGTATAATTTGTTGACCTAACTCGGAGTAAATATGGCCACAAGTCATGAAGTGCTGCGGTATAACTTAGTTTCCAAGACAATCGTGACAATATGGGATTGTTTGTGTGTGTGTGTGTGTGTGTGTGTGTGTGTGTGTGTGATTGTGTATCAAAAAACAAGTGTGATATCCGACATGATAAAATCCTATCACTACGCATTTTACCACAAGTTGTGTATGTCTGTAACTCGCTGATAAAATGAAAACTGTGTGCATGTGTGTGTGTGTGTGTGTCTTACTGAAAGCGATGTGTGTAGCATCCTCCAGTGGGTAACCCCGTTTGGTCGTGCTCACCACACAGAGGCCAACAGATGCCATTGATTGCTCTCTGTGGCGGCAAGAAAAACAAAAAGTCTCACATATACTACACCACAATTTATACTTCACACCAGTGACGGGTTACACACACACACACACACACACACACACACACACACACACACACACACACACACACACACACACACACACACACACACACACACACACACACAAAATGATAACAGTACTTTATCATGTTAAAAGTAATTGGTTAATTCTAGAACTACAACAATATGTTGCAGTACGTTATTCTTTGTTCACATTATTTATTTTTGTTTTATAATGTCTTCAATAAATCTCATAGTGGAACTATAGCAGATATAAAAATGTATTTAACTGATTATCCTCATGCCTCTTTCAATATTTTAAATCTTAATTGATTTAATAAATCTATCTAAATTTCAGGTTTTACCCTGCACCCCAGAGGCAGATGTAGCTTTTCTCCAAACAGTGTTTCTCAGATGTTTACCCCTAATACATTTTTTGAGGAGAGCTGCGGAGCTCTGAGTGGCTTCCATCACGTCACTGTTTATTTGCACCTGTCAGACGCAAATAATGTTTATCAAACACAATCTGAGCGGAGAGAATGTAAGAGGCTGAAATCTGAAAGATTGTGTCCCGATAGCTCGACCCTGATGAACGGACTCACTTGTATAACGCGGAGCTTTGTCAGATGAACTCAACGTTAGAAGCAGTGAGAGCTGAGTGTTTATACAAGTGATGTGAGCTGAGGACTGACTGACTGAGTGACTGAGCGGCTGATGTGATGGGTTCTTACGCGGCCAGCTGCATGACGTTCCTGTAGCAGCTGTACAGCGAGCTCTCAGCCGCCGTCCTGTACTTGCTCTTGAACTTTGGTCCCACCGTGTGGATGATGAACCTCGCTGCCAGGTTGAAGCCTTTGGTCAGCTTCGCCTCCCCTGTCCGACATCCTGCACACAAACATTTCTTCTCAAATTTGACTTTTCAAGAACGGACGCCTAAAAGACTTTAAAAAGGTTCAAACTGTCCAAATTACAAAAAAAAACAAAAACATTTTGGAGTCTACTCATGCAGATATTTTCAGTTTTGAGATATTCACCTTTAACCCTTTAACCCCTGGAGCGTGTCACCACCCGAGTATGTTTTGGATGAACAACATATTTTTGATGCTGACAGTAGAGCTGCTACTAACGACTGCTTCCTGTTTTCTAGTTTTTGTCACCTTGACTACCTTCGTTATTGATTAATCTGCGGATTATTTTCTCCATTAATGGATTAAATGTTTGATTTCGAATGTTTGTTGTGACCAACCGAAGCTCCAAACCACAAATATATTCAGTTTACCATCATATAAAACAAAGAGAAGATGCAAATAGTTCAATCTGAGAAGCTGGAAACGACAGACATGATTAAATGATCATCAAAATACTTGCAGATTATTATTATTATTATTTTTTTTTTTTTAACAATCGACTGATTAATTAATCCACTAATCAGCAACATTTCTTTCTAGTTCTTCTACATAATAGAACATGCTGTGAAAATCACTTCCATGTGTTATATTATACTGCTGCTATAATTTATATTGTGGAGTGAAGACACAGACAGGAACGGGTGTGTGTGTGTGTGTGTGTGTGTGTGTGTGTGCACGATTCAGACTGTTTTCACCTCCCCTGTATTTCAGGTGACTGCACAGATCTGAGAAACTGACACTTTATGACGTAAAATTCTCCAAACACAATCTGTATTAATGGTCTCGTTCTGTAGAAGTTTTATTTCGGTTTCATCTCTTGCATTTGTTAATGAGTAACAGCTGTGGAAACACTTTAAAAGATCATTTACCGTTTACAGCAGTATGACCTTTGTTTTATTAAATTCGGCTGAGCATCATGTGCCTGGTTAAGTCTGTATAAAACCACCAGTGAATACACACACTCATATTCTGTCTTCTCCCTCTGACATTTATGCTCTTCTGCCTGCGGCCCGCAGCATCGCTGACAAGAGAAACTCAAACCTTCCCTCCAGTTTTTCTACCTTTGAGTTTGAGCAGCTCGTCTCGCAGCTCCGGCCCCGCGAGCTGATGGATGCTGTCAGACACCGGGTTCTTGTCGTTGAGCGACTCGTTGCTGGTGTTCACGATGGCGGTGCAGTTCAGCAGGGCGATGTCCCCGGTGCTGCCGAGGAAAGGAAATACAAGTCACTCCATTAAAGTTTCAGTGTATGCGTTGTTATCTGGCCACTTCAGATTACATCTTAAGATTTAGTTTCGCTCTAAATCTTCCACAAATCTCAAAGAGACGCTCAATTATTCTGGTGTCATACCATTGTGTTTTGTATGTTTTTGTCGTAAGGTTTTTCTAAGGGTCTTCATGATCAATTGCTGCTGGTGTGTATTCTCAAATAGCCATTTCAGTATTTCTCTGGTATCCACCGTCAGAAACACTCTCCATTTGCTAGATTCTTATTAATATTTTATTTACTGCAGCAAATCCCCAGTCCAGGGATTATTCAACTTTTATCTCATCTCCAAATAGTTGGAACAGTGACTAGGTGACCACACACACACACACACACACACACACACACACACACACACACACACTTATCCAAACAACCTCGAGGACACAGCATTCAGCCAAAAATAAAATGCTTATTTTACTGCTTCAATAAAGTCATTTCTTCACTCTGAAGTCCTTGGGGGTTTGTTTGGAAGCAACAATAAGGAACTACTCGACCATGTGTTGAAGGCATTTGGTCACAAGACAAGTTCAGCCTCCAGGAATGAGAAGGCCTTTTTTTTTTTTTTTCTTTTTTTAGTTTTTTTATTTTACATCATCCTTCTTCGGTTAATAAAAGATGAGTCACAACACAAAGCCAACCAGTCCGCCAGAAAATAACTGTTAGTGAGAAACAGACTCGCTGGCAGCCTCAGTCATATACTGTACATCTGTATAAATATAAAGTGTGCACTTGTCCTGACAAGCATCTTTATAACCGTGCATTGGGTTATAAACAAAAATACACTCACACACATGATAACAGCGCCATCATTTCTCATGTGATAAAAATGATGACACGCTGACGTATCTGTGTCATGACTCCAGCTGCTACAAGCATGTTTTGTTACATGCAGCATCCCGTGTCCCATTTTCACCCATTGCTATCCTCATGTTTTTATGCTTTTACTTGTATTTTATTCTGATTTATTCAGAGGCCTGTCCTTCATGTGTGGGCAACGAAGTCATCGAGATTAGATTGTTGATCATTCGACATGAGTTTTTGGGGAAAAAAATCAGATTTAAAATGATCTTATTAAATTTATCTTAATTATCCTATCTTTGTTTATATCTCCTTTTTCTTCTCACTATGATTATTGATATGCACCAAAACACTAAAGCAAATTCCTTGTATGCGGAAAACCTAATTAGCAATAAACTAAATTCTGATTAATCTGGAACTTAAACCCAAACCTGCAAAAGTGCAGACTCACTGACAGTGAGCTGGATTCTCACCAAGAGGTTTGTTTTACAGTGAATTTAACTTTCAAACACAAATGACTCACTTTATTTATATATATATATATATACACACACACATGGTTTTTAATTTGAAATTAAAATGGAAATATGTCATTTGAACAATAAAACTCAAACTAAATTAAATGACACACTGTAGAACTCAATTTGCTGAAAATTGTTTATGCAATTATAGCTGCTCTTCAGTAAGGTTTCATTTTGATAGCAGTCTCATGATTACCACTTAAAAGTGTCTTTGCTCATTACCACCTTGTTGCCTTCACATCCATAATAATGAAGCTGCTGCTGCTGCTACTGCTGCTGCTGCTGCTGCTGCTGCTGCTGCTGCTGCTGCTCACCATCCTGCCAACTGTCAATCATCAACTGGGACTGCTCACCACTCATGGACATTTGCAACCACAAGAGGTCACAAGAGGAGATTTTTCTTATTTTAAGTGGTCACAAGCTACAAGGCCTCGCTGCTCGAGGGTCCTTCCTCCCTGGTCATGTTGGTGCGGCAGGAATGTGCTCGCTCCCGATGACTGAGCAGGAGAAGGTCGCCGCAACAACAAGGCTCTCACAGAGAAACCGCTGCCAAGTCGGGCTCCAGGCCGTCATGTGTTCCTCCACAAAGAGGATTTGTGGAGTGATCTGGACTCTGGACTGAACAGGGTGAGCACGTGGAGAAACACAGGCAGTGTTTACACTACAGAGCCAAAGCTGCTACTAAAACCTGACGGGGGGGGTTTGTGTTACTGCTCCTGCACTTTCTAGGATGCCACTCACATCTGATGAACAGAACACATGCAAAGCAAAAGTAAACACCGTCACAGCCACGTCTGTGTTAACGTGTCTCCTGCTCGTGTCTTTGTCTCCATCACTCAACAAACTATCAAAACTATGATGTTTTCTGTGGTGAGGGCCGAGATATTTACAGGAGCTCTAGTCAAAACCTAGTATACGGCTGGTACGTATGGTCAATGTGCAAAAATCAAGATGTATTTAAAAAACGTCTGTGGAACTGCTGTAAACAACTGACACCATCGTGTTGTATTTGCATTCTGCCTCGTGTCAGATGGTTTCAGTCTTTATCTGTTCACTTCTCTCCTGCTCTCTCAGTATTTTCAGACAGCTGAATTCCCAATAACGCTGTTCTCATTTCCATGTTTTTTCTGTTTCTGTTGTCAGAAAACGGCACAAGTGTGAAACTGTGACTGAAACACGGCCCATTTAAGGCCGCGCGTTAACTAGCAGTCACTTCCAAGCTGCTGCTCTGCAGCTACTGAAACATTAATGTCCAATCTGGATCGTTTTATAACGAGTAAATGTAAGAATCTTTTGATACCATTAACCAATATTTCACAGACTGAAATCACGACTTTAAATGGGCTAAAAATATTTTAATCTTATTTAAAACAGCATGACCACAGTGTGAGGCTACTACTTGACTGAAATATAAAGAACTATTGAAAACCTGATGTATTTGTACACAACAAGTCCATGAAGTATGAAAGGTGTCTATGAAAAGATGGTTTATGATTTCAAAGGAGTATTTAGCTCAAGTGAAAAAAATCCCACTTCACAGTCTGTTCAGTTCAGCTTTCATCCACAGCAGCTTCCAAAGGCATGAAAACAGAAAAACCTTCAACTACTGCTACACATTAAAAGCCAGTAATAATGAGTTCAAGAGTTAGAGCCACACATTCCCACGAACATTTAACAAATGAAAACTCATAAAGACAAATAAAGAGTGGAAACTTCTTCACTTTGTGTCCAAAAACAACAAAACTCACCGTTCTCAGTAACTGGCCACCTCAGGGCGAAATGAAGTGTGAGGGGTATGAATCAATTTTCCAGTCATTAGAATATTAAATAAATACAGGATGAATAAATAAAGGATGTATTATCACCAGGTTTCATTCTCATCTTGTCACTGAAAGACTTAAGTGCAAACAGGACGACAGTCAGTTCACTGTGAATGATTCCACGAGGAAGGTTTAAACAAAACATCAGCATGAAGGCACAAATACAACAGAACATACTGAATTATTTATAATCCCACAGTCACAACAACTATGGAAACAGAGAAAAGTACTGGGCCAAGGTCTGAAACAGTATTTACATTTAAACACACAGTGAAACTTTCCACAAAAACTCAGACTAACGAAATGAATTAGCGTTTTCAGCAGAGTGACTGAACACTGAAGAAGTATGGCAAACACTTTAATGAAAACTTTTTCATAGTTACTTGAATTTATAAAATATGCAAAGAACTGTTAATTAATTGGTATTTTGATAATCAATCAATCAATCATTTTGCTCATTTTTCAAGTGACAATATCAAACATTTTCTGGTTTCAGCTTCTCGTTTCGGAAGATTTGTTTATTGTCTTTGACATATATGACAGTAAATTAAATCTCCGTAGGTTCTGGACAATTTAAAGACATCAAAGAGGGTTTGGGGAAGTTGTAAATTGATTGTTTTCCCTATTTTTTTTTTTTACATTTTATAGACTAAATGCCTAATCCATTAAATTTGAGAAAATCATCAGGAGATTTAAATTATGAAAACTAGACTGGCACTCAGTAGAGCGCATACTTCCACCATGGCCAAACAATCCTACACAGGTCTATCAGATCCAGATTATGATCGGCCACATTCAGATCCATTTCCTGAGAAATTGGCAAAGCCGAGTTTGGTGCAAAGTGGTTCAGTACTTTTTGCACGATCAACAAATAAACAAACAAACCAACGACAGGAGTGGGGGAAACTTAACCTCCTTGGTGGTCGTAATAAGCTCCAGCCTTTGGTAAAACTCTTTTTTACATGGTGTGTTGGTATTAGTGAAACTTCTCTCAACCAAACCAGAAACACAGATGTTTTGATCAGTTCAATCCAGGACAAAATACTGTAAAGTTTTGGTTGTTCCTATTTTGTATCTCTATTTAAAAGATTATCTGATCCTCGACCGGAGGCAAGTCTGTTAACTTTAACTTTAACTTTCGCCCGACAGCAACAATGTGAAGAAATATACGAGTGACTCACAAGAGCATGATCTTGCGGTTGATGTCGGCTCTGAAGGGGAAGGGCGAGGGGAAGGCCTGCTGACTGAGCAGACTGTCGTTCTGGTCCCGCGGTGTCTCCTCACCATCCTCGCCCAGCTGCTGCTGCCACGTGGGGAGAGTCTGGATGTCTACAAACTGGGAGCGAGCACCCAGAGGATCCATCCCCTCTGGCTCTACAGGCTGATGCCTGGTCTCCAAGCAGCCCCGCTGAAAACAGGGTGAAAAGAGAAATTTGAATTATACTTTAGCAGTAGATATAAAGTCAAGTTAAATTTATTCATGAGGCCTTGAATCAAAAATCGGAAATTTGCCTCAAAGTTTATTTCAGTCAGTGTTGTTCACGTCTCCCTGGATACAGTCAGTCAATCAACAGCAGACTGACAACAACTTTGACTAGTTAATTCATTAGGGTTTTAATAATTTCCATTATCAAATAATCTGTTGATCACTCTCTCCTCTCAGTTAATGATTATTTGCTACCAAACAAAGATTAATTGTCTGTTGATCAACTAAATGATCAACTAAACCAATGAACGGAGTCAAACTTTCAGCGCCATAATTTGATCAGTTAATCTTTCAAGTCACACATGAAGCAAAAATTCCAAAACATTTGCTGGTTTCAGTTTCTCAGACATTGGGATTTGCTGCGTTTCTGTCTTTGTGACATTTTACAGATGAAACAATTAACAGATTAATTGAAAAAAAAAAAAATTCTCAACAGATTAGTTGCTTCCAAAAATAATTGTATTTTTCCAGGTCTACATTTTACAGACCAACTATTTAAAAAGAACATTTTTAGATTAAACAAAAATGAAAATAATTGTTAGCTACAGGCATAACTGAAACTGTGTCTACTTCATTAAAATATTCAGTTGTTTTGGGTTACGAACTAAGTCTTAATTTCAAAATCATATATCTTTTTTATCATCAGTCTGACTGCAGCCACAAGCTGAATGAGAACCCTGCATGTAATAACATTATCTGCAGATTAGAGGAGATGAGCTCCATGCCTCATCAAATACCATCATGACAGCAGCAAACATGTGGTGACTGCCTGAGCTGAACTCAACACACCAACCCTTCCACGAGGAGAACAGAGCTCATGAATCAGAAATAAAGTCACAGGTTGTGTCACAGATTAAAGTCGCTTGGTTATTTCGTCAGTGATAACACAATCAGCTGGTATTAGGAATCACCAATTTTGATTTTGATTAAGTCATGTATGAAGTAAAAATTCATTTTCAGCTCTTTCCAGTTTCTATGAAGTGAAAGTGAGAAGTTGCAGTTATTTTCTGTCTGTTATACTTAGTAAAAATATCTAGTGCTGAAACAATCAATTAGTCGATGGACAATGCTAATCATTCATTGACTGATTAAATCATTTATCAAGCAAGAATGCCAAACATTTAATAATCAAAACTTCGCCTTTATTTGTTTTACATCACCGTAAATTGATTATCTTTTAGTTTGTACTGTTGCTCAGACTGAACAAGCAGTTTGAAGGCATCATTGGGTTTGAGGTCATTATAAATGAAGAAGGTTAATCAGCACTCAACAGCCAATAAACCTGAGTTTATGTCAAAGATAAGAAAGACACGTTGCTTTCCAGAGAGTATATATCTGAATTTCGCTTTTATTCATGGTTTAATGACAACCACGACATTATTATGATTAATTTTCCACTGTGTCAATGCTAGAAGGCTCCGTAACAGCTGCATATCATTAAATTAACCACAACACAGGACGGTAGGGAGAAAGTCAGAGGCAGGACTGGTCCTAAGAGACCAATTTCCACCCCTTATGTTAACTCCTTTATTTTCCTAAACATATTTAAGATAGTCCACAAGAATAATATTTCCTTTATAAATAGACGGAGACTGTGTCTCGGTCAGTCAGTGTCTCTATAAACCATAAAATCAGCAGTTACCCACCTAACTAGGCAATTGTATTTCCTCCAGGCAGAGGTGATGTCCACGCCAAAAAATCATATAAAAAATGATCAATAAATCTTGACACGACGTGTTTAGACTCAAGAGGTGTTGTCGTTCTTCTCAGTTCTCATAACAGCGAGCAAAGTAACCGCAAAAACACACAAAAAATGAGTTTAAAAGTGTCAATTAAGCAGGTTTACACATTTAGCCAACATGCTAGGTGCTCACTGCTGTCACGTCAAGGTAGCAACTATATACAACGTCCGGTTTAATGTTTCAAAATAAAACTACAAGCGATTCCTCAAACTACAAGTGCTTCTTTAAAATGTAGTTTTTAGAAAATTTAGATGATTAGATGTGAAAATGTATTTGTGTCTGATATTTTTACACAAAAAAGATACTTACATCTACCTCTTCTCCCTCATTAATAAAACCCAGTATCTATGAATATGCAGATATGCTCTAAATTTCAAGTTTAACAATTTCACTGAAAAGTCCATTCTCAGCATATGTGCACTGGAGGCTTGTAAATTGCATACTGGACCTTAAGTTGACTTCCAGGTTGAAATGGTACAAAACCATGCTCCCATGTATATGTGTTGTATATGTATACATTTCCCTCCTCAGTCAGTCAATGTGAAAACTAAGTGTAAAACTCAGAACTCACATCATTCTGCACAGTGAAGCTCCAACATCAACAACAAGTTCAGTAACAATAAGTACAATACATTTTTAGCAGAGAAAGACTTTAAGTGAATGGAAGAGACCCTTGTATGATAATTAATTAACTTTTCAATGTCTAACACACTCATACTAAATATGCGTTTAATTGTTGTGTGAGTAAAATACTCCACTCAACATGTTTGTATCTAACTACATAAATTACGTTATTAAAAATAATTAAGATTAATATTGTATTGAAAGAGTCTAGAAGTTCCTTTAGTCTGCAGAATGTATATGTGTGAAATAAGAATTTAAAGTGAGCATATCAAAATTAAACGCTTTTATTTTGCATCCCGTTTCCGGTACTATTCCTGTTATTTCTATTTAGCTTGGTTTATCTCCTCAGTTCCTAATCAGCTGACTAATAAGCGAAAAACACTTCCGCTGAGGTTCTTTAGGGACCTGTGGAAGTCACTGCGTTTTTCTGTCAATAACAATATCAATAAATTAAACTGTGCAACTAAAATATGAGGATTTCTTCGTCACAGCTCAATAAAATAAAAGCTTTGACTAATCAAGTGTTTGTGTTTCATCTGGAGCATCTGGGGGTCGTAGACTCCAGACAAAAACAACAGAAAGAGAGCGATCGATCAAAAACACACTCAGTGGTGAAAGTACTCAGATCTTTTACATAAGTACTAATACCATATATATATATATATATATAAAAACTCTCTATTACAAGTTAAAGTCCTGTATTGAAAATATTATTTAAATAAACGTATGTAAGAAAAATCACCAAAATATTGTAAGTACTAAATGAAGAGCTCATTGTGACTATTATATATAATATATATAATATATCGTTAGATTATTATAACTCATACCAGCTCATTTTAACTATTGGCTGCAACAAATGATTATTTAGATTATGGATTTATCTCCTTACTATTTTTTCTAATTAATCAGCTTATTGTTTTGTTTGTAAAAATTCAGAAAATAGTGAGTAATGCCATCATTTATTTTTTTATTTGTCGATGTGTGATCGATTGATCGGGTCTGAAACAGCAGCACAGACCACAGGAAGCACCGCACAGTTTAGCTAGCAGCCGCTCTTCAGAGGTAAGAGAAGAAACCGAACAAACACTTAACGCGATGCAGTGACGGTAGAAATCTGGACTCTGTATTTTACATTTACCGACTTAAATCTACGTTATATGTGATTTTATGTGCTGCCTTTCAACCAACAACTTCACCACGTGGGTACAGGGACAACCGGTGTGTCGTGGTTACGTGTACTCGATTTGTTGTACATTGGTATCTGGGCGGGCGGGGTTTGCCGCATGTTGAGTCGATTCAATGGTCTGAAGCGCTAAACACCGACCACGCGGCTGAGTGCATTGTATCAAAACGAACGCTCCTCTGCCTGTGAAGACTATCGTGTTCAATCCACTAGAAATTTACCAAAAAGTACGTCTGTAGGTTAATTATCACTTAATTAAAGTAGGGTATACAAATGTTAATTACAGAAACCAGCAAGTAGAAATATCAAAGTGACACTTCCGGAGATTAAAATACAATGAAACAGTCTAAACTCTCTATGGACCACGGCAGACTCATTATAAATCGTAGCACATTAATAATGTGATATAGCACACTAATGTCAGTCATAAGTTTAATCTTTAGTGCCTCATGCTCCTGTGCTGTGAGGTGTTTCATTAATTGTGTCAGTCAAGCTCTGCTCTCTTTACTGTGTAATTACATTATAATGGTAATGACTCACAAACACACATATACATATACTTTATTTAATCAGGAAGTCACATTGAGATCAAGATCTCATTTACAAGTGAGACCTGAGTAGAGAAAAATAAAATAACAAAAGAAACAAATTTTCAGCGATTTAAATAAAGATTCAGATGTGTATTCAAACAAACAGGTGGACTTGTGTTTCTATAAACAGCGATCAGAGTGTACACTTAAATGCTTTTAAGTATGCATTAAGATGCTCAATAACATGACGACATGAACGCCCATTCCAAAGGCTAAATCACATACGTGCATTTGTCGAATAATCGTTTAGTCAGTCCACAGAAAATTAATCGACGACTATTTTGATAAACAAATAAATATTTTAAGATGAAATTCTTACAGGGAAATGAAATATTAAATATAGTAGAATGAGGTTACTATTTGCTCACTATTCAGGGCGACATACACGATGTGTAAGGGGTCACTAGTCAAAGCCTAACAGTGTATTTTCATAATAACTATCACCAATGTTCCCTTTGCAATAGGAATCAGCGTCACCTTGAGGCTGCTGGTCATGGGGTTGACCAAGCAATACCTGCGCTACGCTGCCAGCGCAGTGTTCGGAGTAATCGGTAGCCAGAAAGCCAACATCACATATGTGACCCTCCGAGGAGGAGAGAAAGGGCGCTATGTCGCCGTGGCTGCATGTGAACAGGTCTTCATCTGGGATGTCCGAAAAGGAGAGAAGGTGAGGTCCAGCTCCAGGTCTCCTGCACAAACCTCTCCCAACTCAGATCGTCTCCAGATTTCATCCAGCTTCTGTGTGTTTCTCTCTCTTCTTCAAGGTCCTGATCCTGCAGGGCCAGAAACACGAGGTCACCTTCCTCTGCCCTTCACCTGATGGCATCCATATCGCCGTGGGTTACGAGGACGGTGCTGTGCGAATTTTCAGCCTGATGAACGGCGAGACCAACGTCTCCTTCAACGGCCACAAGTCTGCTGTCACCGTTATACAATATGACGGACTGGGAGCGCGGCTCGTCACTGGTTCCAAGGTAAGTCAGGCAGGTTTTTACTGCTGTTTGTTTTTGTACATATTCTTAATGTAATTACACCTTTGCACGTTCACCTGAGAAGCACAGGTGTTAAAATCAGTAGAAGATTACCTGGGTTTCACCTTCTTGAGGCACTTAATTTGCAGGCGAATCCTTTTTTGTTGAGACCTGATAAAATGAATCAGATTACAACATGGATTCTGGGAAAGTGGTTTGTTGCCTGTTTGTTATAATGTGCATTAAGCTTTTATGACCTTTTCCTCCTCCTTCAGGACACAGACGTGATAGTGTGGGACATCATCAATGAGTGTGGCCTGTACAGGCTGAGAGGCCATAAAGACGTCATCACACAGGCGCTCTTTCTCAGAGACAAGAACCTCCTGGTCACCAGGTAACACGCCTTTCCCATGATGCCTTGGATGATTGACAAATTCATTGATAATAAGTAGAGTCTAAAAACAGACAACAGATTATTACAATCATGAATCATCAAGGATCATTGAGCACACAGAAAAGTCAAACTTATGTCCCCTGTGTCCTCAGTGGTGATGGCTCTCTGTAGCTTATTTTTTAAAACTAACTTTAACTTAATGTGTTGTAATTTATTTTGCAATGATAGTTCAGGATGTCTAGAATGCAGAGTTTTATGAGACTATTCACCCGTAAATAAAGCTTTAAGAGATCCCACCACACACACAGTTACACACCCACACACACATTCGTGAGGAGTCGGGACAAGAGGAAACTTCATTCTCCAGGCAAAAACTATTCCATTTTAATTTTAGACAAATTAGAGGATTATGAAATTTCCACCTGTTATCACACAACAAATACACGGTGTTACTTTGTATGTATGTGGTTGTGAGTCTAAGCTGCACTATGTGGCTTATGTTTCAATCATTATAACCTTAAATGTAATTGGATGTTTCATGTGATTTTCTGAATACAGCTCCAAAGACAGCTTTGTGAAGTGGTGGGACCTGGACACGCAGCACTGCTTCAAGACCATGGTGGGCCACCGCAGTGAGGTGAGGGGCTTCTTACTCTATGAGCAGAGGTCACTGAGGACGGCTGAATGAGAATTAACAGGATTTAGCTTTAGCTGATTAACCAGAATCAGTTTCAAGGTTTCATTTAGAAGTTTCTGGAAAAAGGATCAGGGTATTAAACATGTAAACATAACCAGAGCTGTCAGAACAATCCCAGGCAGGTTTCACTTCTCACAGTCTCATCTGTCTTTTTCAGTTCTGCTCGTTTCTGAATCAGAGATAACGTAGTATGAGTCTCCTGATTTTTAATTTGATAATTGATCACTTGATTGTATTACATCTGTTGTTGACATTAGTCAAGGGAAATGGGATGGATCAAGTTAGCTGAACGGAGGCTGACGATTAGATCTCTGCGACTGCTCTTTGGGAAACAGCTCTCTGTCGCTGTCGTCAGCAACCTTTGTACTCCATCCACCAATTAAGAAATGAACTCAAAGCCAATAGAAATCCAGACGTGTTTTTGTTTTTCTGCATCACCATTTTTAACATGATACATGTTCACTGGTTGAAGTTTGTTATTAGAAAGGGAAGACGTTACGTGTTCATCATTAACAACTCTGCACGAACGTTTAAACTGTCCCCTGATGTTTGTTTGGTTTCCTGTCAGACACTGATGATGAAAAACGGCCCATTTGAACATTGATATTTAGTTCAGTTTGACATTGTCCTACCTGATTGAGATGAATCTATGTGATGGTATTTGTTGGT